TTTCACGTACATGCCCCATTTGTGCGGACATGTCCAACTAAGTTCCCTTGGGTCCAGGTTATTGTTTCAATTGGAGACGCCTCAACCGCTTCTCATGCTTGCCGTTGTCACTCGACCTTACAAGCAGTTCTTCCACATGGGTCACACAAGCAGAATAAATATGTGCATGACATCACTGGGCTGTCCTCAGATCCCCGCTAAAAGTGACTAACTTTTAGTGGGTTAAATGGAAATCCAACCGGCTAAGAAGCTAAGGAATTGGATGGCTGGAAGCCACCAAGATCAATCAAGCCTTTCCCACTGCCTAAGAGATGCTGCCGGGGTCACTCCTGCGTGGCAGTTGTTCCTGGCAAGTCTGTTTTTCAGGCTCACGCGAGTTTCCTTCGGATGGACGAAATCCATTTCGCATTACCTTGAACCCATGGTTGAACCCCTGATTTCTTGGTATTTCCGGGGGAATCATCCAGAAATCCCCGGGTTTCTTAGGGTTTCGGCGCCCTCAGGCTCCGCCGAAACCGAAACCGAAACCGCGCGCCTGCAGTGACCGACGTGCCGGACTTCGTGGCCGCACGGCCAGGGATGGTCCCATGGTCTGGCAGGCCTGAAGGCGTTTTGTCTCGGGCTCAGAGGCCCAGTGGGAATTTCTACCTGGAGTCTTTTTCTAAGGACCCAATTGTCATTACCCAAAAATAAAGAAATGGGTCATGGTTGGCTCACTTTTAAAAAGGGTCAGAAGGAGACTCCAGGTATGATTTCTATGGAAACAAAAGAATCGGCATGCTTTTTTTTCTAGGGGTACCTTCCATTTCCATTCTTGACCCAGGGATCCGGATTTTTCTAGAAAACTTCCGGAAACCCAGGGAAAACGGATCCGGTCTTGGGAAAGAACGATGCTTGAAAAGAATGGAAAAGGAATCAAACCCTATATGTTTTGGTGGGTATGACTTTAAAGGAACCGGAACCCTTCCCAAAAAAAGCTTGGAAAAAGGGGCACCACTGGGCAACTGGGTGGCATCGCGCACATCTTGCTGGCACTGGCCACCTATTCACAAGCCAACTTCAAAAGCTGAACCTGGGCGGGCTGTGGTTGAAATGGAATCCACGAATCTGTGACACCACAGAAAGGGCCTAACCCCCAAAGACCAATCCTCCAACAGGGGGAGAGTCACTTGTATCACCGGAGTGGGGGATAAAGCCCTCGTGATCCCACCTGGAACCTGAGTTGGAGTCAGGCGACTCCAATACACACGATGCGAATATCCCGACTGAGGCTGCTGCTGTCGAAGGTGACAGGCACGGTGCTTGCTCCACAGCCCATGCTGCCTAACCCTTCAAAGCCCACGGAGCCAAACTTTTCGCGAATTTCGGGTCCGCAGTCTGCCATCGAGGCATCTGGCTGTGAGTCAAAAATAGATTAAAAAAAAAAGATAGGGTAACCCCAAAATGGCGCAAGCCCTGGTAAGTAGACACATCGACTAAAACCCGCGGTCCCCTGGGGGTTTGAAATTGACCCATAGCCATCTCGGTTCTGGCAGATTGTTTTAACTCACCACAGGATTGCCACTCCCTCCCACCAGCTAACATGGAAGTGCCTTCGGACCCCTGCAGAAAGACTACTTTTTTTCTTGGAAAGGGCTTTTTTTGCACTTCCATGTGAGTTGGTGGGATGGTAATTACTGCCACGCAAGTGGTGACCGTCTACATACATTTGCGACGTGGGATTCAGGACTGGCAGCAGACCCCTACGCATAGTCTCAAACATGTCGAGGTGTTGTGTGTGTGTGTGTATCAATTCGGCAAGGAAGCTGAACGAAAGAAGTGGTAAGCAAAAAGCACTCAGAATGAATCCAGTTGAAATGGGGCGTAACTGGACTGGTCAGTACGACCCTGTATGCTGAAGTTCTAAACGTGCTCAAAGCTCCCCTGCCATACAAATTTTCTTCAGCTATGTCTGGGAAGCATATTGAAACATGTGAGGTTGTCAAGTGCTGCCAAGCGAGCTGGTGCAATTCAGCTGGAAAAGCGCACTCACACTGACACCTGAATCGCAATCAACACCTGGTACTAAGCGGGTCCACCGCACCCAAAACCCATGACAATCCCCGAACTCCGAAGTGTTCCTTTCAGTTTCCCTTTAATGCCACCAATAAAAGGGCTAGCGGCTACTCTCAAATAAATACAGAGCCACATGGATTGCAGCCTTGAGTTGCACATTTTTGACACCGCCCTGACACATCGCCACTGGAACTCTCCAAGCAGTGGTCCTTTGCACTGCATCACTGGTCAGCCTTTGGACTGCCTAAGGGACCTGACTTGATCAAACAGGGCTGTAGGACTTGGACCCCCAAACAGGTGGTTTCCTTTTGGATTCCCTAAAAAGCCCACAAAAAGGGGTACGAGACCCCCAAACAAGACGAGCCTATCCCCCTGGCCGGCTTTGCCGGAGCCAGGGTGAGACGGTACTTCTGTGAATGCTCAAAGGCACTTTGCGCCGGAAGAAAAAGACAGTTGAACCACTCACAGTCAGCAGGCCTCGGCTCTTGTCACTCCTGAACGCACCGAATCTGGACACAAATACGCCGGGCGGAAAAACACACATGGCTGTGGGTCAAAATTAAACCACCAGGAATTGGACCGCAGGTTTGAGTCCATGTTTCCTTCTACCAGAGTTCCATTTTGGGTACCTATTTTTGACCCACAGCCACATTTGGCAATCAGCCGAGAAAGGGAGCGAATGAAGTGAATTCCCGTCCATGATTGCGAGCAAACCAGTGCAAAGGAGGGACGACCACCAGCAGAATTACTTGAAAGGCGGGTCGTCGAAAGCCAGCCCAACATAGTAAGAATCTCTGCAGCTACCTCACGCCAAAGAAATACCCTACTTATTTCGACTCAAACGTGGACACATACGGGAATGTGCATTGAGTTGAAGAGAAAATGGCGACATCAAACGCATGGCGCAGCCCTTTCCCCGACAAGCAACCGGATCTCTGGTTGCATGTTCACAGGAAAGCGACCTCAGCGAGGCCTCGTTTGTTCCGGATTCACAGCGCGTGGGGCGTATTTATACTCCAGGGTGAACGCTTGCAACCAACATGTGGGGAAATGCGCCATCTACGTTCACCCAAACTGTAAACTAGCATTCTATACATTTCTCGTATGTTTGGCTTTAAAGGGACCGCCCACCACCCAAAAGGGAAAAAGGAGACCAGGAGCCACGCTTTCTGGGCGATGTCTCGCATCGTCAGTTGATGCTTGAGCCAACGGAAACCAGGCTTGCTGCCAACCCTAGACCAACTTCAAACTTCAATCCAATCCTAAAACTTAAATTTGCTGAAGCCCCCTGTCAAAAGGACATACTTTCTGGGCTGCCCTCAGATCCCCGGCTAAAAGTTTAACTTTTGGTGGGTCAAATGGAAATCCAAACACTAAACCAACTGAAAAGCTAAAAAGCTAAGGAACCGGATGGCTGGGAGCCTCCAAGTCTTGAGGCCCTCGAACTCAGGCAGGAGCGATTTGCGCGTCGTCTCGCTCCCTGCACGGGGAGCCAGGACGTGTGCCAAAGGGCCACCAAACTGGCTTACCACCCCTAGAATCAGGGAGTTGGTCAGAAGGTCCCATGAACACGTGATGACCATTAGGGAAACCAACAAAAAAAAGGAATATATGTCCCGCCATACGGACAAAAGTTTGCCATGGTCATTTTGGGGGCAGACATTTTGATCAACCCCCAGTTGCACAAGCGCAAGAACCTTGCACAAGCGCAGGAACCTTGCACAAGACATGCAAATCCAGGCAGCCAACAAAGGGTGCAGTGGCAGGCTTGAACTTTGGGTCACGCCATGTTAATGCATTCCCTTTCAATCGCAAAGAGGGTTTTGAAGATGGCTCCTAAATCTTGCAAGCAAACCAACCACATGCTTGAATTTGCGTTGGGTTTTTACCTTGTTCCCTTGCAATATTGAGTTGGCATCAACCAGCAGTCAATCCTCGCGCGGCCTCGCGCCTGTTTTCTTCAGGCAGCACCGCAGTCACCCGCTGACTGCGTCCACGCACAACCCAAGGCATGATTGGGGTACACCTGTTTTGCAACATACCGGTGTGTCGGTTTTTAGGGGACCCCCACTATGGTGGTTCTCCTGTTGGTTTCCCTCCAAAAGCCCACCAGACATGGGGTATATACTGTACTAGACGCTCGCCAGCCAGGTCAATCTGCAAGGTCGCAGTTCCCAGGACCAATCTGGACAACAGCCAGCCCTCCCTCTGCCAAAAACCGATAGAAGCGACTGGCATCAAATTCCGCAAGTCGAGTCTCTGCAGGCCTTCCCCAGTGCCTGCATGTTTTTGGTTTGGGCTGTTCAAAATGGAATGTTCAAAAGTTCCAGGTATAGGTTTTGGAGAAATCGATGCTGATAAATACCAAACAAGCTTGTACCGCTATGCCTCCTACATGAGTGGTGATTAATCACTGTATATAACCACCATGCCTCTAAAATTCATGCTTGGAAAATACATCATTTGACAATTAATTGGAAGTGTTGCCCAATCCTAATGCATGATCTCTGAGAAACAGCTGGAAGGGAACCACTTTCATACCCGGACCTGGAAAGGGATCCCCTTTGAACAGCCCAGATTTCTCGAAAGAACTGGCTGATTCCCAGGGAAGGAGACCGAACCAATAAAACCATCTAGTAGTTTCCCGTAAACGTACCTCGAAACCGATCATTCCCCCAACCCGCAACAGCCTTACAAGAAAACAACACCATTCCCTGGCGACCAGCCAACTGAATGGAGTCCATTCCCTTCCGAAGGCTGGAGCTCAAGCTGGGAACAGCACGCGCACATCCGCATTCCGCCATGGAAAATCACTTCGCTGACTCGACTCAGTACCGAGTCTTGGCGGCGGATAGAACATCCCCTCACTTGCTGAGTGGATGGCCCAAAATAAGTCCAAACTGTATATCTACCACTAAAAGGGTCTTCCCAAAAAGTTTAAAGTCCATGAACTCAGGAAGTGAGTTCTTGGAGTGATGTGTAATGGAGCACGTGCCGTTGCGCCAGTGGACGTTGGTGGTTCCTTGGCCCCTGTGCTTGAGCTCTTCACTGTGAGGAAGGACATGAGCTGTCCTGGCCGTCTAGTTTGGCACCACGCCTCAAAAATGCGCTGCAACACCTTGTTGCCCTTGTCTTTCTTAATAATCAAAAGCACCACCACCACCACCAGCGACACCACCAGCAGCAGCAGCAGCAACAGCTGCAACAACAACAGCAACAGCAACAGCAACCACGACAACCACAACAACAACAACAACAACCACGACAACCACAACAACAACAACAACAACAACAACAACAACAACAACAACAACAACAACAACAACAACGACAACAACAACAACAACAACAACAACAAGGTTGGACGGGGGGGGTTTGCCCGGGAAAACAATGCGAAACGGCCGGGGAGGGTTTGCCCGAAGAACAATGTCACCGATCAAGTCATCAACACTGCGTGGTTCCCAAGACGTGTTGTTTGGCCACCAAAACCTCTTTGCACACAGCTGTGAAATTAAAACCAACCCTAAGGAGGCAATGTTTCCGGACAGGGCCAGGATTGGCACAAACATCTCAACAACACACTGACACACACGCGTTCGTCGCAAAAAACAAGGTCTCAACAACAAACTGACACACACACACACATTCGTTGCAAAAAACAATGTTTCCACACCAGTTCACTTCACTTGTCGCACGGCGTCCTCTGAAAACCAACCAGCACGAAAATCTCAACAACAAACTGTCTGTACCAAGGCTTTAACGAACGCAAGTCCCTCACAGAAGCACATCTCGCTCCAAGTTACTAAAAGCCTCTCCGGGTGGAATCTTATCTTGAACAGCCACCCTGTAAGTTGCAAAGCACTGAACCACAGACTTTAGGTCGGGATGTTCCTTCAGCCACCAAGCGGACATACCGTCTCGCGTTCCGCCTCCTTTCTTGGCACCGGATCTACCCAACTTGTTCGTTCTGCGAAGTTGCTCTTTGAGCTTACTTTGCCATGTCCTCGCATTGGCCCCCCGCATTTGATCGGGTGTGCTTACCAGTGGGTGGGCTTGGATACAGCTCTGAGCGGGTGCACTTGAACGGGTGTGCTTACCAGTTGGGAACCAACTCGTAAGCACACCCGTGCAAGTGCACCCGCTCAGAACTGTGTCCAAGCCCACCAACTGGTAAGCACGCCCGTTCAAGTGCACCCGCTCAGGACTGTATCCGAGTCCACCAACTGGTAAGCACACCCGTTCAAGTGCACCCGCTGACCCGCTCAGATCTGTATCCAAGCCCACCACCTGGTAAGCACACCCGTTGAAGTGCACCCGCTCAGAACTGTATCCAAGCCCACCAACTGGTAAGCACACCCGTTCAAGCGCACCCGCTCAGAACTGTATCCAAGCCCACCAACTGGTAAGCACACCCGTTCAAGTGCACCCGCTCAGAACTGTATCCAAGCCCACGGATACAGTTCTGAGGGTGAGCGGGCGCACTTCAACGGGTGCGCTTGCCAGTTGGTGGGCTTGGATACAGTTCTGAGCGGGTGCACTTGAGCGGGTGTGCTTACCAGTTGGTGGGCTTGGATGCAGTTCTGAGCGGGTGCACTTGAACGGGTGTGCTTACCAGTTACAGTTCTGAGCGGGTGCACTTGAACGGGTGTGCTTACCAGTTGGTGGACTCGGATACAGTTCTGAGCGGGTGCGCTTGAACGGGTGTGCTTACCAGTTGGTGGGCTTGGATGCAGTTCTGAGCGGGCGCACTTGAACGGGTGTGCTTACGAGTTGGTTGGCTTGGATACAGTTCTGAGCGGGTCAGCGGGTGCACTTCAACGGGTGCGCTTACCGTTTGGTGGGCTTGGATACAGTTCTGAGCGGGTGCACTTGAACGGGTGTGCTTACCAGTGGGTGCGCTTGGATACAGTTCTGAGCGGGCGCACTTGAACGGGTGTGCTTACCAGTTGGTGGGCTTGGATACAGTTCTGAGCGGGTGCACTTGAACGGGTGTGCTTACCAGTTTGTGGGCTTGCATACAGTTCTGAGCGGGTGCACTTGAACGGGTGTGCTTACCAGTTGGTGGGCTTGGATTCAGTTCTGAGCGGGTGCACTTCAACGGGTGTGCTTAGCAGTTGGTGGGCTTAGATACAGATCTGAGCGGGTGCACTTCAACGGGTGCGCTTACCAGTTGGTGGGCTTGGATACAGTTCTGAGCGGGTGCACTTGAATGGGTGTTCTTACCAGTTGGTGGGCTTGGATACAGATCTGAGCGGGTGCACTTCAACGGGTGTGCTTACCAGTTGGTGGGCTTGGATACAGTTCTGAGCGGGTGCACTTCAACGGGTGCGCTTACCAGTTGGTAGCGGGTGCACTTGAAGGCTTTTGCAAAAAAACCAGGGGGGTTTGCCCGTGATTTTCAAGTCGCGCGCGCAATGTTTGTAAAATGATGCCCGACGTGCGACT